GCCCCTGTAGCTAGACGAGTCAACCACCTTTGTGCCATAGGATCTTCACTGTACCCCTGCTGAACTGATTCCAACCACGCCGGCACTGTTACTGTGATCGATGCAAGATCTCCTTGTGGTGGCCCTGGGCGTCTGGATAAGGCATCTGCCACGCGATTATCCACACCTCTTTTGTAGACAATGCGATAGCGCAAGCCGAGGAGCTTGGACATGATATTTTGCTGCCAAGGTGTCGCCAACCGCTGGTCCTCTAGGTGCACTAAGCTTCGTTGATCAGTATGGATCAGGAACTCATCATTTTGTAAGTACTATCGCCAATGCTCGACCGCTAAGAGGATCGCTAGTCCTTCCTTCTCATATGTGGACAAGGCGCTGTTTCGTGGACCCAAAGCCTTGCTCAAGAAAGCCACCGGGTGCTTGCCCTGTTTCAGGACGGCACCGATGCCTTTGTCCGACACATCTGTTTCTAGCTCAAATTGGACATTGAAATCCGGCAGTGCTAACATGGGAGCTGTTATCAGTGCTCTTTTAAGTTCCTGGAAAGCTGCTTCCTCCAACTCAGTCCATCGAAATATTGTGTTCTTCTTGAGCAGGTCTGTTAGTGGGCGGCTGGTGATGCCAAAGTTCCTCACGAACTTGCGATAATACCCTGCGAGGCCGAGGAAACCGCGTACCTCCTTGACAGTGGTTGGTGTTGGCCATTTTGCTACTGCAGCAATGTTTTTCTGGTCAGTTCGGACTCCATCTCCACTGATTTCATGTCCCAAGTATAGCAGACTTGGCCTGGCAAAGGTGCATTTGCTCATCTTGATCTTCAGCTGGTGCTTGTCGAGTAGCTGGAACACTTCCCTCAGCCGCTCACAGTGTTGCTTCAGGGTAGCGCTATGCACTAGAATGTCGTCAATAAAGACCAGTATTCCCTTGCGGTTTACTGGAGCCAACACTATGTTCATTCCTCCTTGGAAAGGCGTCGGTCCCCCCGTGAGGCTGTACGCCAAGACCTTGAACTCGAAGTGGCCATGGTGGGTCTTGAAAGCAGTCTTGTGTTCATCTTCGGGCTTCATACGAATCTGATGGTATCCGGCCCGGAGATCCAGACTGGTGAACAGCGTGGAACCAGCCAGCTCGTCCAGTAGCTCGTCAATGACAGGCAGAGGGTAGCGGTTCTTAACTATCACCGCATTGAGTTGTCGGTAGTCCACGCAGAAGCGCCACGACAAGTCCTTCTTCTGAGCTAGCAGCACTGGCGAAGCAAAGGGGCTAGAGTTGGGCGCGATGATACCTTGAGCAAGCATGTCTGCAACCTGTTTCTCAATCTCATCTTTCTGGGTCGGGTTGTATCGATACGGGCGCACATTGACTGGTTTCGCCCCGGGCAGGAGAGGAATTGTGTGATCGAAAGAGCGCTGTGGTGGTAGTCCCTTAGGTTCTTCAAACAGGTGTCCAAACTCGCTGATCAGGGCCTCCACTTCAGCAGGCACCGGCACTTCGGTGACGATTGGCTCCCCTTGCTCTGCAGCGTACAACTGAACCATGCGCGCGACACCCGAGCGCTGCAGCAACTCAGTGAGCTCGTTGCTTGATAGTTGATGGCACTGGATGATATCCGCTCTAGCACCCTGGAGATGGACCGTGTCGCCCTTGTAGTCAAAGTCCATCGTCTTCTCGAGCCAATGCACCTTCATTGGGCTATGCTGAGCAAGCCAGTCGATTCCCAGGATTACGTCGTAGCAACCCAATGGAAGCACCTTAAGGTTGGTGTCGAAGGTGACCCCGTGGGTTTGCCATGGGCACGCCGGTAGCTCCCGGTCGCATCGCATGACGCCTCCGTTGGCCACGCGCACCGTCAGAGGGTGCTTGGCCTTGACCACGCCTTGCAGTTGTGTGGCGAGCGACTCACAGATGAAACTGTGAGACGAGCCAGAGTCGACGAGCATCAAGACCTCGAGCCCTTGCACCCACCCGTGGAGACGCATGGTGATGGGGGATTCCCCTCAGTCTAGTGCCTCTTTGGAGATGACGCAGCAGTCCGCGCTCTGATCGCTGCCCGCATCTTCGCGCGTGCTTGGCTCACCGATATCCACTGATTCGCTGTGCATCATGGAGAGAAGCTCCTCAACCACATGCAACTGGACGGTCGGCCCACAACGATGATCGCGCCCCCAGCGCTCGCCATAGGTGAAACAGAGCCCGCGGGCGCGTCGGTACGCACGGAGGGCTGCGATCTTGTCTTCTGTTGGTTGAGGGTGCGCCGCTTCCAGTGTGCGACGATCCGCGTTGAGCCCCTCCACTGGTAGCGCGGACTTGGTCGGTGCAGCTGCTGGTGGCGGTGGTAGAGGGAGGGTTGTGTGTGGTACTCCTCAAAAGGCAGCTGGTGCCGAGTGCCGACGATCCTCCCGCTTGTCTTCTCTGCGCAGAGCTTCCAGCACTTCCTCCTGTAAACAAGCAAGGTCGACGACAGTATCGAGAGTCTTGGGTCGATGTAAAACTACAGCAACACGTATATCTTTCTGTAACCCATCAATAAAATGTGTGATAAAATAAGATGGCTCCCATGATTCATGATGGGCCACTAAATTGTGCATAAACTGGGTGAACTTCTCTACATATTCAGTCACAGAACCACTCTATTGCAGGCGATTGAATTGTCGCAACAGTGACTGAAATTCCTCTCTCCCAAACTGTGCACAAACTGCCTCTGCAAACGCACCCCAATCTGTATAGATTAGGTGCGCCTTGGTGGACTGCAACCAAGACAATGCCCCATCGATGAAATACATCGCGGCACAACTCACCCAAGTATCGGGACTAAGTGTACAGACTCTGAAATATGCCTCACACTTCAGACGCCATGCTCGTGGACCATCACCATCGAACAAAGGAAAATCAAAACGTGGGGGAGGTGGAAAGCGGCTGAATCCAAACTGACGCTCTCCCATAAACGAACTTTCAGCAGCAAAGGGGTGGAAATCGGCCATACCCGTGATCGGAGGTGCCCGCGGGGTCCGTTCCCCCGGCGACATCCCCCGGTGATCTTGCGTCCTGCTGTGGCCAGCGGGCCCGTGGTCGTCGCCACTGCGAGGCCGGTGGCGCTCGCTTGGTTGATGCAGACGCACGTCCGCGACCGGAGCAGCCATGAGCGGCGGTGCTGCTGTCGACGGAAGAAGCGAAGGCAGGTCCGCGAGGCGAATCAGAGGCACCAGCTCCGTGGCCGTCGCTGGTGCCGGATCTAGCACCGGCGCGGTTCCTGGCCGCACCTCCTTGAGCAGTTGACGCAGCTCGCCCACCTCCAGGCGCAAGTCCTCCACCGAGCGCTCGACAGGTGGTCGCCACCCTTGGAGCTCGAGGACGATGGGGTGGATCTCGCCGATCTGGGACGATATGCCGCTGATCGCCGCCGTTAGATCGGCCAGGGCTTTGTCGGTCTCCTCCATGGCGGTGGTCTTGCCGCGGCGGGTTTGGATAATCGAAGGAAATCGACCGGCCAGGGTGTAGGTGGTGGGAAGGAAAGGCTGCTGATACCAAATGTTACGGTCCCACTAGATAGCTTGACGAAATCATGGTCGAATTACAGAGGAATTGGAGGGGATCGGTCTAGGGTTCGTGAGTTACAGGGAGAAAAGGGGATCGGGATGAGAGCCGCCACCAGTGTCTTCTCTCTCTGCCTGCCCCTGATCAGTGCCCTCGCTAGCTTAAGTAGCTAGGTCGTCCATTCTGGGCCTTCGTACCGCTTGCTGGGCTTGTGGGCTCGCCTGTTCCTCTCTTGGGCCTGACCGCTGGTGTGGGCTGGTGCGGTAGGGGCTGTAGGCTGGGTCGTAACACTCATTGAGTACCCCGCCATCGTGGTTGCTTTATGTTAAACAAAGAGAAGGTAAAAAAATCTCAATGGCACCAGCCGGGGGCGAATGATAGCTCGGTCATGGACGGATCCGGGGGTGGAATTACAAGGCGCCTGGGTGGAGCAGCGATAGTTCGGTAGGAACCAGGCAGTGACAGTCTTGGAGGGTGCAATACAGGGCAACATGGGAGGGACGGAGTGGGGTAAAATTGCTCCGGGAGAGGGGTTTTGCGTGGGCTGGGGGTGTCAGGCGTCTGGACATCCGGAGGAGGAGCGCGAGGACAGGGCAGAGAAGTTAGAGGAGGAGGAGCATGAGGAGGACATGGGGGACGCTGGGGCCGCGGATCTGCAAGCGAAACAGCATGCGATTCTCGATTCCCTCCGATCCGAATGGCGGTGAAGGCCAAGCGCTGTCGTCTGCAGGAGGCAGAGGGGGTGGACACGGCGGACGTCGACAAGATGCTCGCCCGTATGGATGAGGAGGAGGAGCCAGAGCCCTCCACGCGTCCAACTACCAGGCACCCGGCACGGACGTCGTGGACCTCTCCGACGATGATGCTTAATTTAGGCTAGCGTGGTGTGCATAGTACGTGGCTTGTATGTATTTTGATGGATGAAATATGAGATACTCAGGTGCATTGAGGAAAGTATGAGGTGTGACCGGTGCCCGCGGATGCGTCCAGTCGCGTCCGCGAACGTTTGAGGGTCCGAATTTGCTTAATCTGACTGTAGATGCTCTCAGATCGCATCTCGTACGTGTTACATGTACATCCATGGTCCTCGACCCACGTCGAGTGTCCATGATCCACGACCATTGGTCCATCATGCAAAGCACGTTTCGTTCAGTTTGAGTGTACGTAGAAGCCATACTCGAGAACAAAATTATCAGGCATGGTTACAAAACTAATTGAGGGTCCAAGCTATTCACGGTACACCTGGGCGTGCGGCGACCCGTTGCCTGCCGGCCAAAACTGAGCAACGAACAAAAATGGGGTGTCTGCAACTCTGCATATCTACGTGGAAGTGCTGATACTACTACTACTGCTAGTAGTGGAAGATTGGGCGGGCAGTTGCCATGCCAGTTTTGGGCTGCCCAAGCAAGCGACACCTACTAAGTCTGGATCGGCAGATTAATTAAACAATAGCAAAACTACGAAGCTAGCTAGTGCACTCGTGCCACGTGAGGCGCCGGCGCCGGCGCCTGGACGGCGGCGTTGCTGATACAGTGGTGGCCGGCCTTGGTAGTGGACTCTTGGGCGGCGCCGGCGCCTGGACGGCGGCGTTGCTGATACAGTGGTGGCCGGCCTTGGTAGTGGACTCTTGGGCGGCGGCGGCGGCTGCGGCAGGTAGCTCGAAGGGGCCGAGGCGGTGGTCACCGAGCCGGGACTTGTAGGCCGCCGTCTTGTACTCGGCCCAGGTGAAGTCCCTGTACAGGCTCTGCTCCCCTTCCCGCATCAGCTCCGGCAGCGGCGCGATCCGCTGCGTCGGCGCCGGTCCGCCGAAGTAGATCACCGACAGCCGCGACTGCTGCCCCTCCGCCGGCGCCACCACCCGGTGCTTCATGCTCCGGAACCGCCCGTTCGTCAGCACCTGAAATGCACCCAAAAAAACGTCTCTCACATCAGAACGCACGCACGTAACTGGTGCAGGTTCATGAGCATCAGATGGTATATCCTTTAATCAGTGATGCAGGTGGTAGGCTAAATAATGCGCCATGCCAAACCACTAAACCAGATCAAAACATGGATGATGGATCCCAGGTAGAGTGAGTGGTAATGGTGTGGTACCAACCTGGAGGGAGTCCCCGACGATGACGAAGAGGGAATCGGTGTCGGGGGCCACAGGGACCCAGCGGCCGTCCAGCAGCATGATCTGAAGTCCCCCGGTGCCGTTGGAGCGGAGCACGGAGATGATCTGCGGGTCCGTGTGCTCCCCGAACCCCGTCACGCCGCGCAGCCCCGACGCCACGGGGGAGGGGCATGGCGGGTAATGGTTCACGCGCACCATCTCGTCAGCCCCTCCGGCGTCGTCCGGCGCGGCCACGATCCGCCGCAGCACGCCGCGGTGCTCCTCCGCGACGCCGAGCCCCTGCGCCATGAGCTCCAGCACCCGCGCTCCCACCCCGCGCACCGCGTCCGTGTACTCCTCCAGCGCAGCCCGGAGCGACGGCGGCAGGGAGGCGGCGGCGACGGAGCCAGAACGGACGGAGAGCAGGATGTACTCGAGCCAGCCCATGTCGCCGTTGCAGCCGATCCTCTTGCTGCCGTAGCCGAAGGGCCGCGCCGACGCGTCCATCTTGTCCTTGTGCGGCAGCGCGAAGAAGGCAGCGGCGCGGGCCTCCAGCTCGTCCACGAGGACAGCCGGCACGCCGTGGTTGGTCGCCCTGAAGAAGCCCACGCCGCGGCACGCGTCCGCCACGGCTGCGGCGGCGCCCGGGTCCGACAGGTCGATGCTCGGCACCGCTGCATGTGCGCGTTTCACAAGCGGGATCGTGTCCACGGAGATGGGGCAAATTTGACAAATTTAACCTATAGACGAAATTAAATCACAGAATGAACTATCCGTGAAACTATTTCACGCGGCTAACACGTGACGCCTAGCTCTTAGGCGCTGCACTAGTGCAACGCCTTGGAGCTAGGCGTTGCACTAGTGCAACGCCTAGGAGCTAGGCGCTATACTGTATAGTGTGGCGCCTAGCTCTCAGGCCTGCACACGACTTAGTAATTTTCTAATCACACGTGTGCGACGCTGGTGGTGTAGCGCCTATCTGCGAGGCGTTGCACAGTGTAGTGTGGCGCCTTCGTGTCGGGCGTCATACAAAAAGGTCAGCCACGTGAAATAGTTTCACGGATAGTTCATTCTGTGATTTAATTCCGTCTATAGGTTAAGTTTGTCAAATTTGCCCGGAGACGGACACCGTGATCCCCACCATGGCCGGCAGACGATCTCGCAGATATGTATTGAAATTGAAGCAGAGCAGTTCCCGCTGCTTGCCGGTACGTTATTAGCTAAAGAGTGCACCGGGATATAGTGAAGCAGAGCAGAGGTGCGGACGTTTGCGGTTGTGGTCATCTGATGGGGTGATGGCCTGGTATATATATAGGCGACATGAGCATTGATTACCAGCGGCAGTAACTAACTATGTAACCAACCGGGTGCTCGCTTTAGTTGGTTTGGTCTAGCGAGTGAAGTGACGTTCAAAGAGTGTCAAAGCAAGCTACGTGGATGCACGCACTATGTGTGGAACGGAACAGGGAAGATCCACCATGGCTGTCGACCAGGCAGTTGGTCGGGATCATACGGCTGAGATGGAGGAGAGAGAACTCATAAGAAAATATGCTTGTAAATATAGGACTAAGATATCATCCATTGTACATCATTTTTGTTACCTTCTCCAAATTACGTGCCAAATTTAAGATAAAACGGCTTTATCAGCCATGATACATGCTCTTGTTTGCATTTTCACGAAATTGAAGCTAACGGAACGATCATTGCCGAAGCAGCAGGGTTTTGCTCTCAAAAAGTTATTGGGTAGTCCGGACTCGGTATTTTTTTTCCTTTTTCATCCATATAATATCTTATTTGCCTCTTCGGGAAGATTAAGACTAACGTAGCGAGCATTGCCCTGTCATCAAAAAAATATGGAATAACTGAAAATTCAAGTTGTGTGCATGTAAATGTCAACAGTTGATAGAAGGTGGTGAGGACTATGCGGTAGAATAGAACCATGGATTCAACCTAATGCATGGGCTGCCCATTTGCCGTATTATTTTCTCGTTGTTATTACAATGAGCATTACATGCACCAGAACACTGGCTAGATGCGACTACACGTCTTTCATTCACATTACTAAAAGAACAAAATGTCGAAAATGTATGTACCAGATTTCACATCATACTGAATTTCACATGAATAAGTGAATGATAGATCTTTCCACTATGATTATACATTTGTCATAGTTTTCTTAGAAACAAAATGAAGGCTCTCACTTTGTTGTTTCGTTGTCGCTGCCCGAGAACCCAGACTTTTTGCTAGAACTGTGGAAGTGGTATGACTGCCTTTCATACCTGCATAAAAATAGGGTTCGGGGTCTATGATCCGTCAAATATTTCATGACATATTTACCAAAGATATATTCAGGCAGATTCAAACATTGTTGTAATCACATTGTTCATACGAGATAACCATCAAGCAGGAATAAAGTGTTACCTCTAGAAAAGGGGCTTGGACTTGGGTAAGATTTATCTCATGTGAAATCATGTATCTAAATCATCCTCAATCATGAATATTGTCGTGGAATCCCTGCGACAACAGGTGCGCTTGTTTATTGTGATATTAGACACGACCCAAACATATCGGAGTATATTTATTTGGTGACAACACAATTGTATTTCTGCCCTCTCACGTCTCCAACTAGGATTCAATGGTCAATACGGAAAACATGACTCCACTATAGGATCACAAGTATGTCTAGAGAGGAAGGGGGGTGATTAGACTACTTGACCAACTAAAAACCTGGCCAGCTTTTTCCAATTGTAATTGTAAGCAAGTTTTAGCAATTCACACAAGTCAAGTAACACCCTACACAAGCAAGTCTAGATAGTAGGCAGCGGAAAATAAAGACTTTGCATATGCACGTAAAGAAGGGGATCAGAGAAATCAAACGCAATAAATACATGATGATTTTGGTGCACAATAAGTGGTACTATCGTACATCCACGTTGATGGAGACTTCAACATGGAGGGTAACAGCCAGTGGCGGAGGACGAAAGTTTTTTGAGGTGAGGCGAACTCTTAAGCAATAAAAATATTGATGCAAAACCGACATAAATAATAGGGACCAACAATGCACACCAATATTTTCATATGATCCTAAACAAAATAGCCAAGTACGATGAAAATGCAAACATATTTTAAATAGAAGAACGACCTAAAACATACCGAGAAGTAAGCTTTAATATCGTGTAGAAGACCCGTGCAATGGTAGTAGGGAACCCTTCTTTTGAAAAGCTTCCTTAATTTTACCAAGATCAAGACTTGTGAAAATCCCTCGCTCTATGTAACACACCATCAAGTCATTAAGCCAGCCACCGGACATCTTGCTCTGCAACTCGGTCTTGATGATTTTCATTGCTGAAAAAACCCGTTCAACTGTTACTGTCGCTATCGGTAGTAGCAATGCCAACTCAACGAGGCGATAAACCATAGGAAACATGATGCGCCTTTCAAGTTTAACCATGTTTTAGCTAGGCTTGCAATATCATGAGATTCTCTAAAATCTTCAATTCTTCTCATATGAATAATGAATAGGTCAAGGTGATCACTGCCACATCATTGTATATCAAACCATTATCTCAAAATGACACTAAAATTCAATAAATTTACCAATGCCCTCTGGTTTTGCTGGCCCTTTCCCCTTCTTGTTCATGTCCATTTTCTCCTTCTGCCCGTCGAACTCAAATTGTCACACGAGCAGCGAGCTCCTACTGCCCGCCAAGAACAGCAAGCTCTTGTAGCTGCCGGGAAAGCGCCCCCGGTCGTCCCCAAGCGCGCTTGGCCTCCTGCTGGCCACCGTTGCGCCACACCCGGCGCTCTCCTACAGGCTGCAGTCCCGCTGACCACCGCCCTCGCCCCCGCACGGCGAGCCGCCAAGCTCCTGCTGGCCGACGCCCTCGCCCCGCCGTCGTTCCATGCCAGGGTTCGCATCGCCCTCATGCACTCCCTGTCTCTGTTCGAGGCTTCGAGTGAGGGTTCTGGTCCTCTGGAGCGTTTCGCGTGCATGGGCGCGTGGCTGAGTGGACTGAGAGAAGCCGACCCGATAGGCTATGAGCCTATGACGGGCCAACCAGGACGCGACCCAGTAAATCGTTTGACGGGAGTTTTATTGATCGATTCGATCTATAACGATCGGCTGATATACGTATACATATACCTAGGAAAAAATTCCAAAAATCAAGGTAGGGCGAGCGCCCCACCTCGCCCCACCGCGTCCTCCGCTTGTGGTAACAGCTGTTGATTCCATGAAAGGCTCCACCCACGAAGGGTCCACGAAGAAGCAACCTTGTCTATGTCATCATGGCTTCCGTCCACGAAGGACTAGCCTCACTCGGGGTAGATCTCCACGAAGTAGACGATCTCCTTGCCTTTACGAACTCCTTGGTTCAACTCCACATGATTTGGAGGTGCCAAGTGATACCTAACCAATCTAGGAGAAACCACTCTCCAAAAGGTAATAGATATTATTGTTGATGATGAACTCCTTGCTCTTGTGCTTCAAAAGATAGTCTCTTCAACACTCAATCACTCTCTCACACATTTGGCATGATGGTCGGAGAAGGATTGGAGTGGAAAGCAGCTTGAGGGGGCTAGAAATCAAGGATCAAATTGTTGGAGTGGAATCCCTTGATCTCAACACAAGTGTAGGTGGTTCTCTCTTAGAAAAATGATATGGGAACTGGTAGCTTCATCCTGGGTACTCTCTCTGAGAGTAGGTGGAATTGGTTGGGTATATATAGCCATCACAAAAAATCTAACAGTCACACACCTTTATGCGCAACTCGACGGAACCAGGTGAAAGCACTAAGTGAGACCGACTAGTACAAAAGGTTTGAATTTTAGATGTTTCGGCGGGACGGGACCGATGGATGATGACCTAAGAAATTTCCTCGCTTCGGTGACACCAAGCGAATCCACTTGGAAATTCCAAAGTGAAATCGATTAGTTACAGAAGGTTGGCATGCGCACTTCAGTGGGACCGAATGTCATCTTGGTGGGACCGAGTTTCTAGGGTTTAGACAATGGCTCTATCAAGTGTATCTCGGTGGGTCCAGGTAGAATTGGTTCCGTGGGACCAAGTTGTTCTTTAGGGTTTTGGTCAGATAGGAATGCGAGGGTGTGGTTGATGGTTTTCGAAGCAATATCTCTAAGCACTTGAGCATTGGCTTTTTGTATGGACTGAATGTGACCTTGGATCACTTAACCAAAAATATAGAGTCGTCAAGCTTTTGCCAATCCATGTCCTTTGCATTTTGCGGGGTCCACATTCACATCTCATTGCCATACCCAGTTGAACTTTTTCTGAAATATTCTTTGAATAGGTTTTAGTTCGATGATGTATATGTTGTTATGAATTACCAAAATAAACCGGGGATTAGTTGCAATTTCAACCACACGGGGAGGTCCCCACTAGCATCCAACCCTCTCCCCTAGACTAACGTAGAAATGAATTCCTTTAAAATTGTATGTAGATTGGTCTACACTAAAAACATCATATGGGTTTGACCTTGAACGAAACA